ATACTATGTTTAACTGTAGGCTATATAAAGCAGGAAGCGTGTGAATTAAAGGGGAAGATGAGAATCATCGTGATGTTTGCAGAAATAATCAGATGCACATTTAATCAGACACTTGTGAGAAAGTGCAGCAGTTCCTCTGTGAAGAACTGTCCCTGCGTCCCAATGTGCATACTATCCACCCTATCTGCCCTTGATAGTATTGAAAATGACTAATATCACATAGAATTTAGGATGGATTGTATGCACATTGGGATGCAGGCTGTGTGTTTGTGTGATCACCTGATGATGATGATGATGAGGGATCTTATGTTCTGTCAGTAGTGATGTTGTGATGGCTCCGCCCCAAAGGAGGCGTTCCCTCGGCCCCGTCTCACCCAAACGCATCTACAGGAGCCTGTCACTCAAACTGAGGGGCGGGGCTTCCCACAGTGAGGGGGAGCCTTCTGATTGGAGGAGGCGGCTGAGCAGAGGACCAGCTGAGGTAAAAAATACACACACACACACACACACATATACTCAGTGTTGGGGGTAATGCATTACAAGTAACGTGAGTTACGTAATCAGATTACTTTTTTTAAGTAACTAGTAAAGTAACGCATTACTTTTTCATTTAGAAGGAAATATCTGAGTTACTTTTTCAAATAAGTAACTCCAGTTACTTTGTTTCCATGTATTGACTGACAGCTCTGGTGTTGCCATGTTGAGAGAAATCAGAAGTAAGTGCAGAGCGTTGTGTGTGAACATGATCTTACTGTAGTTCTAGACCACGGGGCCGGTTGCACCAGCTGGACGTAAAAAGGTTGGGTGTAAACTCTACGTTGGACTTAGTTTCGTCCAGCTTTCCGATGAATATTTACACCTGTTGCACCATCTAAAACTACGACTAGGCGCAGCTAAGCTTTAGCGTAGACTGTGCGCGTCCGCGCGGACACGACGCCATTCGCGTTACTATGGTTACAACTTGAAATTACCGGCTCCAATGAATAAATTAAAAATGGCCGCTGAACCGAAAAGAAGAAAATTAAATTACTCAGATTGTGAAACAAAAAAAATTATTGAACTCTTCAGTAGGTATATGCATATTTTAGTATGCAAACAAAACAATTCAGTAACAAATAAGAAAAAACAAGACATCTGGCAAAAGATAACAGTGGCAGTAAATGAAGCTGAGGGTGGATTAGGAAACCGGACAGACGAGGAAGTAAAAAAAAAATGGAAAGATCTTCTTCAAGCAGCCAGGAGAGACTCTAGTCTGCTCAAAAAAAACCCAACGGGTGGGGGACCCCCTCCTAAAATCTCACCCTACAGCACTATTATAATGGATGTGTTTGGAGACGACTCGCCAGCTTTTACTGGCCTAAAAGGCTATGACACTAGTGCCAGCAACATGGATGTAACGGAAGAAAAGCAAGTTGAAGCTGAAGAAGACGCAAGTTTTTCTTCCATTTCAAATGATTCATCAGACACCAGTTATGAAGGTAACATTAAAATAGTGGGCTAATAAATAGTTATAGACTATAGACCTGTTTACACTGTGTACGGCGTAACCTACACAAATTTCTGAAGCAATTCATATTTTAATAATGCATTAAACTTTTGCAGATAATCCCAATCCGCCTTTAGCACCGCGGACAGCTCCAAAAAACACGACAGCGTTACCTCCTCGAAGGACAAGGGAACCGGATCTTCAGGCTGTGTTACTGGAGAAAGACATTAAGAGAGTGGAGATGGAGACAGAGAAGTTAAGGGTAGAAAAGGAGAAGCTTGAGATAGAGAAACGGAAACTTGCCTTAGAAATCCAGCTGTTAGAGCGAAGGGCCAGCTACACAATCGAGAATGACGGTGTGTTTTTGAACATCTGAATAATCCTATGATTTAAAGAAATGTTCTGTATGTTTTAAATCCCTAATTAAATCCTAAATACATCTTAATATTAAAAAAAAAATCTGCATCAGCAAATCTAATTTGATTTAATAACACACACAATTTAATCAATAGCTAAATAATTTATTTTTACTTGCCAAGTAAGTGCAGAGCGTTGTGTGTGAACATGATCTTACTGTAGTTCTAGACTAAATATGAACATGTGTTTACTCATCTCACCTGCACAAAAACAGATTCAGTATTCCTCAAAATGAATAAAAACAGTCAAATGCAAACTCAGAATATTATACAAACCTGCAATAATTAAATGTTAAATAAGACAAATATAATTTATGTATTTAATCCCATTTTATTAACCAATGTCTTTGCTACTGACCTTCGATGATCCAATTCAACCTTACTAATAATCAAAAATTACACATTTGTGTTTGATTTTAGTTAATGCTAAATAGTGTTGAACTTTCTCCTCCTGCGTCATATTCTTCATGCGATTTGTTTGCGCTGCGCCCTCTACTGTACAGACGTGAATTTACATTTCCTTCAGCCTGAGGCGTATTCATTTAACTTTTCTTATAAACTTTCCCCAGCACTGCATATACTGTATATATGTATGTGATGCGATCTGGGAAACCCCGTAGGATGTTGCGCTGGGACGTTTTCAGGAAATTCGAAAAATAGGTCGAATGTCAATTTTTTTTGTCAAAATTAGGGTTTCATTCAATTATTATTCTATAACATCTTGTCTATCATCTCTGTAAATATCTTGGAAAAATTCACTTGTTTAGTGCAGAAAAATAGCTATTTATTGCAGCAAGCAGAAAAGACTGTGTTTTTCTCTCACGTTAAGAACACGCTGCGGAGGTGCTTTCTCTTAACACCACAAAAACAGTTAACCTATCAAAATAAAACATGTAACATATATGATAAAGGAAAGGTGTATCAATGCACAATTCCCGCCAGTCCTGTGTAAACTACGGCACGCAAAGGTTTTTAAATGTATTTATTTTTTAATATCATGAGATGGCGGAGCGCAAGAAAACAACAGTCTGAAGCTGCTCACTTTGACGATCTTGCTGGTCTCGGTCTGCTCAATCTTGGTGATATCAGTGCCCTAAAAGATGTTATAATGGACTATTTCACATCCAGAGATGAAGGATCGGATGATGAAGTTACTAAAGAGGAGGAGTCCGATGACAGTCTGTTATAGCCTATGCACAGGTGCGCTGCGCTCGCTTTTCTAAATGTAAACTACAAGGTACACTATTGGTGCTATCTAAACATACAAGGGGTGATAAAAAGTTCAGAGACTATGCCCATCATGACAAACAACGGAAAACTGTCCTCTTCAGGGTAACGTTAGTCTGTTTGTGTAATGATGCAGTATAGCGCTCCTGACAGATAGCGATCGTTAAACCCGTGAAGTGAAAGTGAAACCCGTCTCACTCTAAACCCGTTTTTCCTCAAAATTCCATTCCGGAAAATCATAGCTAGCAGCCAACTTCAGATAGCCATAACTTTTGTTACGTTCAACCTAAAGAAGGAAAATTTCACCATGTGTTGGGTTTTCCTAGATCACATCACATATATATATATAGAGAGAGAGAGAGTGAATGTCCTGCTGTCTACATGAGTGTGTGTGTTTGTGTTTAGTACTTGTGTCTGTGGGATGCGCTGGAGAATGAAGACGCACTCGCAGTCCAGCATCTGTTATCCAGAGAGCGAGTTACAGAAGGACAGGTGAACGGCGTCAGTGAACTCGGCCTGGTGCCGCTGGACGTGGCCGCTCTTACCCATAATGCACCACTGCTGCAGGTGCTGGTGAAGGCCGGAGCCAAACATAACCCCACCTGTGAGTAACACACACTAACATCAGAGACAGACACACACACACACACACACATGATCAACGTGATGCAGAATAAACCCAGAATTTACTGTATAACAGGGAATGTCACAGCAAAGTTTGGCTTCTTAATTTTAAGTAGGGCTGTACAACGAATCTTAATAATTACGTTCTAGGAATTCATTTGATTACCACTACTTTTGCTGATAAGTTTTTGTATTAAATCACAACCACATAAACACAGAATCCAGAAAAATGAAAGCAGACAACAGAGAATTTGGAAAGATTTAAGGGAAAAAATAGACTTCATAGGACCGTATTGTATAAAAATATGAATTATGTAATAAATTGTAAATGTAATATATATTAAAGTATATATAATGAATTACAGCATATCATAAATGATCATCAATAATAATAAATTAATAAAAGTTAATGTTTTATGAATTCAATTAATTAGACATACTTTTTGATTTGTGAAAAACCAGATTTAATTTAATAAATTATTTTATAAATTGTGAGTGTAATCAACATTTAATTATTATTAGAATTAATTTCTTTAAATTCAATTGATTCATAATTGTAAATGTAATAAATTATAATGAAATGATTTCATAAATTATAATTAATAATAATTTCTATGACATTTTAATGTTTTAAATAGTTTTAAATTAGTTTTAAATTTAATAAATAAGTTGATTAGACATGTTTTCTGATTATTAAAATAAAATAAAATTTTCCTATGATGGTCAAGTTGTTAAAGTTTTATGAATTTAGTTGATTAGACATTTTGATTATTAAAATGAAGCCATTAAAACAGAATCCAGAAAACACCAATCATGGAATTTGTGAAAAAAATCAAATGTAATTTAGTAAAAAAAAAAAATCTACATCAGATTTCATACTTCAGTGGGTTGATGAAGTATAAATGCCTCTCGCCGTCCCCCCGCAGTGAGCTCGACCTCTGATTGGTCGCTGAAGCTGGACGAGCTGGTGTCATTGGCTGAGCAGAAGCTGGAGGAGTGGAGGGCGGAGCTTCTGCTGAGAGTGAAGGCGGAGCTTCAGTCACAGACAGACGCGCAGAAGAACGTAGATCTGTGGATGCGGCGGTGGGAACTTTACTGTCGCATGAGGGACAGATTTCACACGACTGGTATGAACACACACACACACACACACACACA